CTTTCTGATAGAAGTTCTTTGTGTACCCTTGCACATAAAGCACGTTTTGATGCCTATAGGCAATGTAAAAGACCAAGTTGTTTCTTAAAAGCAAAGGGGAGCCTTAAAACCAAAAGCACGTTTTGATGCCTATAGGCAATGTAAAAGACCAAGTTGTTTCTTAAAACCAAAGGGGAGCCTTAAAACCAAAAGCACGTTTTGATGCCTATAGTCAATGTAAAAGACCAAGTTGTTTCTTAAAACCAAAGGGGAGCACCTTCAAACTAAAAGCACGTTTTGATGCTTATAGGCAATGTAAAAGACCAAGTTGTTTCTTAAAACCAAAGGGGAGCACCTTCAAACCTAAAGCACGTTTTGATGGGTAGATGGAATGTGAAAAAACAAGCTGTGTGTTAAAGCCTAAAGGGGTCGCCTTCCAACCAAAAGCACATACTGATACATATATAATAGTGTGCATAGACATTGAAATCGCACATTGACACCTTACGCCTCGCACAGGCAGGAGAATTTTCAAGCAATATTTGTCGCGAGCAATAAATTTTTCGGCTTATACGTAAAGGAAAATAACAGTTGTTTGCAGCAATCTACGCACACGCGATAAGGCTTTAATAGTCAGCACACTGCATGATTACGACATCACGTCGTAGCCAGTCATAATGGCTCCCCTAAATGCTGAAAAATTGCTGGAAATGGAACGAGCGCACAAACACTTTTAGCTGCCGATGTCAGCCATTTCAATTGCTTGCGACAAAAAAAATGCTTGCAAATTCTCCCGTTTGCGTTCGATAATAACGCATACTTCGAATTCATGAGCTTACATTAAATGATTAAATCCCAAAGCACACATCGAGCTAGGTAAACCGTGACTCAAGGAGCCATAATAGATACCTGACTGACAGTAAACCCCCCATTAAGGTCGACGCCACACGCGGATGTTGCGTTACGGATAATTTCGACATCGACAAATTATCGATCTTGGCACGTCGCGTCGCGATTTGCGTCATTCGATTAGGGCCCAGACCTGCCACCGTCGTGGCTCCACGGTCCGCGGAGACAGTTCTAGTGTCTTATTTACTGCAGAGCTTGGAGAGTCGGTGGGGTTGGCTAACCGCGGCCTGATAGTAACCAGTTCTCGCGACGCTGGGGTGTGCATGTGTGTGTGGGTGTGTGTGTACTAGCATTTATCTATGCCCGCTCAGTCGTTGCTACTCACCGTCATCAGAACGCCTTGGTGATGACAAACATGCTGGCAACGAAAATCCATTGGCTCGCCGGTGAGACGGAACAAGAACAGATTTATCTGGAGAAAGATTACCGACAGAGCATATTAGAACATGTACATGGTAGAAACATGGCGGACAAAGCCTGTTAGAACATAAAGATTGCCTACAGGGCGTGTTAGAACATGTTCATGTAGAGAAAGATGGCGGACATAACGTGTTAGAACATGTCCATGGTAGAAAGATGGCCTACAGAACGTGTTAGAACATGTCCATGGTAGAAAGATAGTTGACAGAGCGTGTTATAACATGTACATGGTAGAAACATGGCTGACAAAGCCTGTTAGAACATAAAGATTACCTACAGAGCGTGTTAGAACATGTTTATGGTAGAAAGATGGCCTACAGAGCGTGTTAGAACATGTCCACGGTAGAAAGGTGGCAACACAATGTGAATTAGAACATGTCCATGGTAGAAGGTGGCGGAAATAACGTGTTAGAACATGTCCGACTCCATGGTAGAAAGATGGCTGACAGAGCGTGTGTAGAACATGTACATGTATGTGGATGTGTGTTAGGGTTGGGGAGATAGTAGCGTGTGCACTCACCTCCAATATTATGCTGTTGCTCGGTTCATCACACTCCTTGATCGGGAAGCCGAACACGGAATCTTTAGCCGAGTGTGCCTGGAAATAAGTGAACAACCATCAATCTTTGGCGTTCAAGATACGGTGTAATTCAGCAACATTCCCTTCAACATCACACGATAAACTGCACATACGACGCAGCTTTACGAATAATCTTCGATGGAAGTTCGGACGCTGAGGACGGCTGTACCTGGGGCGTGACCGCCGGCTTTGTTTGAGGTGCAGCACCACCTACCTTGATGTTGAGGAGGGCAGTGCCACCTACCTTGATGTTGAGGAAGGCAGCGCCACCTACCTTGATGTTGAGGAAGGCAGCACCACCTACCTTGATGTTGAGGAAGGCAGCGCCACCTACCTTGATGTTGAGGAAGGCAGCGCCACCAACCTTGATGTTGAGGAAGGCAGCACAACCTACCTCAATGTTCATAAAGGCAGCGCCACCTACCTTGATGTTGAGGAAGGCAGCGCCACCTACCTTGATGTTGAGGAAGGCAGCGCCACCTACCTTGATGTTGAGGAAGGCAGCGCCACCTAACTCGATGTTAAGGAGGGCAGTGCCACCTACCTTGATGTTGAGGGAGGCAGCGTAGAGCGAGACCCCGACAACCAGGTACGTCTGCATGACCATGAAGAGGGCTATGGCCGTGAAGGTCCAGCGGTCGAGGCTGGCCGTAGCGAGCAGGTAGGCGGTGAAGCAGAGCAGCGGCAGGTTGGTCGCGTACAGCAGCAGCAGCATCTGGCTGAACGTGACGTCGAGTCGCTCGACCGCGCCGCACAGCTTGTGATGCTCGCAGCGCAGCCGCCCCAGCAGCGCCGTGATGGTGCCATCATCCAGCTCGGCGTCGTCGACGCGCAGCGGCGGTGCGCGACGCGCCACGTGACGCAGCATGCCCACGTCGCATGCCGGCAGCGCTGCGAGACCGCGCCGGTCGCCGCGGTGGCGCCCCCTGACGATCCGGCCAAGAATCTCGACGCTGAGCGCCACGGCGCTGAACTGGCGGCCGAGGAGGTGGCACCACATGCAGAAGAGGAAGGGTATGGTGATGTAAGTGATGACGCCAAACACCATCATGAAGGTTGCAAGATGGCGGAACGTTGCTGAGTCGAGCGGCTCGGCGAACGCACGCAAGATCATCTGTGAGCAGAGGAGAACAGACATTTGCAACGGTTAGTGTCAATTCAGGGGAAGGGGGTGATCGACAATGTGGGATGAACCTGGGAGGAATAGGAGCGGAGAGGGAGGCAGTGGGAGAGGGGAGCGGAGAGGGAGACAGTGGGGGGAAAGACAGCGAAGATGGTGGGGGAGGGGGAAAGGAACTAGAAATGGAAGAAATGTTTCATGTTATTAGTGAAATTATATTATTTTCAGAATTATTATTATTGAAGAAATCCTTCGAATAAATGCTCGAACGAACGGAGCGTGCACGTGAACTCACCTTGTCCGGGTCCAGGATGCCGAAGGCGAGGCTAATCACGACTAGGACTAAGGTAATGGCCACGTGTATGGCGCAGCGGATGATCAGGCTACGATTCTGCTTTGTGAAGAATATCCGGCACGAATCTCCAAACACGCCACTTCTGCCCACTGCCTGCGACAGATCCGATCCCCACACATCTGCAGCAGGCAGAGAGAGGGTGAGAGCAACAGCAAGAGAGGGAGGGGGAGGAAGAGAGAGAATGCAGGACAAAGAGAGAGAGAGAGAATGCAAGACAAAGACAGAGAGAGAGAGAGGGGGAGAAAGAGAGAGAGAGAGGGGGGAGAGAGACACAGAGCTAGAGAGAATAAGAGAAAATGAGCAAGACAGGGAGTGTGTATTACTGCACAGAACACTCACCATGCCAGTAGTGGAAGAATGCTTGAATGCCATTCTTGCACTGGAAGGAGATCCACAGGCACGTGGTCATCAGAGTGTTGGACAGAATCCAGCAGCTTCCCACTATCACGATCAGGGATGTGTTCCGTTCTTGCAATTCCTGGAATACACAGCAAATTTCTACAGTAACGAGCAAAACGTCAATTCTCGGTTGCCATTGGCAATGCACGTTTGCGCAGTATCAATTTGAAAAGATGAATTTGCAATCAGAATCACAGAAGCTGGAAGACCTTACTTGCATTTAAACACGCTGTCTTTTAACTAGAACAGTATCGGTGGGGTTAGATTCCCAACTCTTGTCATCATAGGCATCGTTCTTATATATGGTGACAGGCAGACACCACTGAGCTTACCAACCTCGTATTTGGTGAGAGCCCACACACTCTTCGCGGTCATGAGCCAGTGGATGGTCAGGCAGATAACGGAGTAGACGGTCATCGCTGTGTAGATGACTCTGCGGACGAATCTGCTGTTGACAGCGACTGGGATGGACGCAATGCCACCGGTCAGCAAGATGAAGCCCAGCCAGATGCGCATGGTGCGGTAGATGGCGTTGGTGACGGGGGAGTAGAGACCAGAGCGATCGGCCTGCGAGTCGGTGCACCCCTTGTCCTTATCTCTGAACTTCGCAGCTTCCTTCGTCTGCTCCCACGTGTCCACCACAGCACCACCTACCTTGATATTGAGGAAGGCAGCACCACCTACCTTGATATTGAGGAAGGCAGCGCCACCTACCTCGATGTTGAGGAAAGCAGCGCCACCTACCTTGATGTTGCGGAGGGCGGCGCGACCTACCTTGATGTTGAGGGATGCAGCGTAGTGCGAGACCACGACAATCAGGTACGTCTGCATGACCATGAAGAGGGCTACGGCCGTGAAGGTCCAGCGGTCGAGGCTGGCCGTAGCGAGCAGGTAGGCGGTGAAGCAGAGCAGCGGCAGGTTGGTCGCGTACAGCAGCAGCAGCATCTGGCTGAATGTGACGTCGAGTCGCTCGACCGCGCCGCACAGCTTATGATGCTCGCAGCGCAGCCGCCCCAGCAGCGCCGTGATGGTGCCACCATCCAGCTCAACATCGTCGACGCGCAGCGGCGGCATGCGATGCGCCACGTGACGCAGCATGCCCACGTCGCACGCCGGCAGCGCCGCGAGACCGCGCCGGTTGCCGCGGCGGCGCCCCTTGACGACCCGGCCAAGCATCTCGACGCTGAGCGCCACGGCGCTGAACTGGCGGCCTAGGAGGTGGCAGCACATGCAGAAGA